AGGCTGCGGACTGGAGGAATGAAACCACCTTCATTCGACATTACCTGCGCCATCTGGACCAGTACCAGGCACAGTTTGGAAGGGCAGTGTTACATGCTGGGGAAATGGTGGAGACAAACACACCCTCCTCCTAATGATGAGTACTGTTTCTAAGTCTCCATAGATTATTTTGAGGTAAGTATCACATGTGAAGCGAAGTAAAATTAGAGATTTCTCTCGTAAATCTTGGTTTTACGAGCGAACATGTGATACTTACCTACCCTCCCTCCTTCCCCCAGTGTTTGTCGTGTCTATTTTTACCTTATGCTTATGGCTCATTTCTGAGAAAAAGCACATGGTGATGGGCGCATGCGCGGAAGTAGGGGGATCTAGAGGGAGAGTTTTTTCTCTGTGGTTGAGTTGAGGTACTAGACAGGGAAAATCCATAGGTTATTTTGAGGTAAGTATCACATGTTCGCTCGTAAAACCAAGATTTACGAGAGAAATCTCTAATTTTATTTAAGAAAACAATGATCATTTTTTCTCTTCCGAAGTATTTGCAGTATTGTTAAGTTTGGATTCCTATTTTTCCATGAATCCTACACACTAAGTTATTTTGTGCCGTGACCTGTTTTATGCTGGTCCAAGATCATATATTTATCTATCATCATATTTGATAAATATAGCAAATATATTGTGAAAATCCAGAAAAAATTAGCCTCAATTTAAGCTTAAAATTAAGACTATTTTAGTAATATCTAAAAATTAACATCACAGACCCCCACTTTTAATTTTCTTTTCTGAATATATAAGATACTTTTAAACATTCTTCTTAAATTTAGTAAAATGAAATTACCTTCAAATGATTTTTTTGTTGTAAACGAGGAGAGGGTAAGCCCCATATAAGAACAATACTTATATCTGGTATGTTGATACCCATATCCACAGCTACAGTATCAGTCCACCTTCAGAACAAAAAGTATCCAAAATTCTCTCCTTTGATTTGATACAGTATCCGCATCGTTATTCTTTACAATTCTATCGTGTCCTATCGAGCGTGTATCCTGTCGTATCGTGCGTGTATCCTATCGTATCGTGTTTTCCGTTTATCAGGTTTTGCGTTTTCTATCGTGTTTTCCGTTTATCAGGTTTTGCGTTTATCGTGAAGATCGTTTATCAGGTTCTATCGTGTATCGTGTTTTGCGTTTATCGTGTGCATTCGGAAACCCTCGCTTTTTATCTTTACCTTGAAAAGAAACACCCGAGATATCTCGAAGTCATTTTTCGTTTTGTTAATTTATTTTGGATCAATTTAACTGTTGAACAGAAAGAGAAATTAATACTCTAACTCTGGTATATTTGTTTAAGAAAATAAATAAATAAATAAATAAATAAATGTCAAGTACCGTGACCAAGTAGGGAGCGTATCAAATTCTATTTTTGGACATGAAATAATTGATCTTCTATTCATTCGTTATTTTTTTTTAATTTGTCGATATGTAAGAAATATTTTTGTCAAAGATAAAAATATTATAAATTAATCCCTTTACAAGTCAGAGTCACAAAAGCAAGATCTTTATTAACTTTGTTTTGATAATTATAGAAACATAAAACATTAGGTATATGTGCAAAAAAAATATGAATAAAAAAAGAAAAAAGCATCATCTTTATTAGATTTATCCTTTTTATCAAAAACGGAAACATAAATGTTGTCTATGTGCGCAAGTTTTGTTCCGTTTTATTATTATTTTTTATTTGTTTCTATGTTTGTCTACAAGTTTAATCACAATTTATTTGACATGAACATGCTCCATTCAATTCATCATCTGATAATTATATGTTATAATATAGATGTTTGCCATTCATATTTAATTACTGCATGTAGAGATTAAAAAATAAACAAAACAAAATAAATAAATAGATAAACAAAACCAGACTAATTTTTATTATACAACTTACCTATTTCGGCTTGGAAATGAAGTAAAATATACCGTAACTAGGTGACAGGTGGAAGCGCTCCCGTGACAAGAGAACTGACACCTATATGTACCTGCCTAATCAGTACACTGTCTTCTTGTCAGGTCAAGACTCACCCCCTTTCCCCAACGTGACTGGCTCGTGTGTATTCTACGTAGACGTACCTGAACTCCTCTCACCTGGTGTCAAGTATTTACCTTGAATCCTACTGGGTTTCAATGAAATGCATTTACTTATTTTCTGGATATTGTTCATAATTTGTATGAGCAACACTTAATTAACAATTAAAGATTTTATACTAAGAAAACTGGTAAATGTACACTTCCGTTACAGATGAAAAATTGTATAATTGAGTCAAATAAAATATAGGCGAGGTTTGTCCTCCAAACTCCGTTGATTTAGTTCATTTGTATACTTTTATGTAATTTTTATAGGTATACAGTCATAAAAATGATTGGTGTGATCAAATTTAAAAAAAAAACTGCTCTTGTGGTACTGTTACAGTACCTCTGGATCTTCGGGTTTTCTGTCGTTGTTAAAGGCGTCTCCAAGATATATTAAAAAAAATAAAAGAAATCGCCCGGTTCTGCCGTGATACACAAGACTGGTAAATACCTTGAATTTAATTATCCCCTCGCACAACTAGTTGCGGAGGGGATATAGCATCGCTACTGTGCGTATGTGTGTGTGTTAGTGTGTCCGTTACAGCTTATGGGCAAGATTTAAAGAGAACCTTTGCACTGTTATTTCTCCGTCTTCACATACTTATGTGGCATTATAAAAGGACGAACCCTATTCATTTTCAAGTTAATCGGATATATAGTTCTTAAAATATCGCGTTTTTACTACCTTCAAACCCTGCAATTTTATGTACAAGTTGACAATACTCACTTCCGGTAAATTTAACAGGTTAAAATTCGGGTCGTTTTGATAGAGCCGCTTCGGTAAGTTCTACTTTGTATTCGCGTATTGTCATATTATTGCGTATCTTGAGAAAAGTTTGTATGAATTAAAAGTGTCATCTCTGTCACTGAGTAACTGAAATAATTTAATGAACGTCGCGGTTTCAATACCAAATGTTTACAATAGGGGCCTGTGGAATTTAATCTTGAGGCGCACATAATTCTTGAAAGCTAAAAATATAAAGTTTCATTGACATCTCAACACAGGTATATTGTCATTTTTCACTACAAAAAAAAATTACTTCCGTGCGTATTTTCAGATTTGATGCATATTGCATGCTACTCAGGTAGGTAAATCAATGAAATTTACAGCATACGTGATATGTTTCTGCTAGGAATAAGGGAAACTTGTGCAGTCTCAGTCCCAGACTGGTGCAACTGCGGATTAATGACCTCGAAACCATGTGTAGTGTTGAAGACTTTATTCTGATAATGGCTTCACAAGAGGTAAATGACTGAAAATAAAATTGAAATAGACAATAAATTTCTAGCTTTCTCTACAAATAATATTCACTCATAATTTCACAAAAATGACCTCATCAATTTTGAATACACTATGAAATACAGGCCTAAATTACTTAGAAGAATTTTGACAATAGATGCAAACACTGTATAAACACAAAGACTTGGCTTAAGATCAATGGTAAACAAGAACAAATAATCAGCCCGAATTTCCTCTATCAAAAATGACAACAGATTTAAACACATGGAAAATATCATTGCAAAATATGTAAAAAGTTGTTTAACACATTAGACATATGCACATATTAACACTCACATCGCTGTGGCACCTCACAGGTATCAAAACATCAAAAAACAACAAGGATTAACACAACCCACATTTGCACCAGCTCCGGCCATGCTGAATCCCAGACGTATATAACAAGACCGGTCTTGGCGGAAACAAGATATCCGGAAAGCGTGACAGCACACTCCCCGCCTGACTAGACTAGTCACTACTCATTAGTCGGAGCGTAGAGAAGGACCACTTCTGTGACTGGTCGAAAATACTCCACTGGGCGTCCTTGCCGGATGACTCTAACTTTCACCTTTCGAACGTTTCCATCTTCGCTTTTGATTGCTTCTTCCACCAACCCTAATGGCCACTCACATCTGTTCATATCTTTGTCTCTTAGCATGACAACATCTCCTTCTCGTAGGTTCTCCTCAGTCTTCCACTTTCTTCTGGATTGCAGATTCTGTAAGTACTCATCTTTCCATCTTTTCCAAAATCTGTCCGCTAAGACCTGCACGTGTTTCCAATTGGATTTGAACATGTCTCGAATGTTCAGGTCCAAGTCTCGAAGAGGTGGTACTTCATCTCCCTCTTTCTGTGTGAGCAATACATTCGGCGAGAGAATCATTGCATTCTCTGGGTCTGACGATACAGGTGCTATTGGGCGAGAATTGATGATCATGGAAACTTCTGCCATAAAGGTGACCAGAACTTCGTGGGTTAGCTCCTTTGCAGAATTCTCCAGTAGTAAGGCATCTATAATCTTTCTGGCCACACCTATCATGCGTTCCCAAACGCCTCCGAAATGTGACGAATGAGGTGGATTAAAAATCCATGTGCTTCCTTCGCTCAGGAGGAACTTCTGAACGGCTGGATCCTCAACGTTTACAGCATCTGTGTTTGAAGATGTAGATCCAACAAAATTGGTTCCTCTGTCTGACCTATACTCCAGTACTTTGCCTCTAATGGAAACAAATCTGCGCGATGCATTTATGAAGGCGGACGTTGACATCTGTTCCACAACTTCGATGTGCACTGCCCGGACTGTGAGACATGTGAACATGATTGCCCATCTTTTACTATTTGCACTTCCACCACGTGTTCTTCTACTGACAACATTCCAATGTCCGAACGTGTCAACTCCAACGTAGGTAAATGGTGGAACTGGTTGTAGGCGACAAGAAGGAAGATTGGCCATGATTTGTGTCTGTAACTGTCCTCTGAGTTTCCTGCAGGTAACACACTGGTGTAAAATGGAAGATACCAATCTTCTAGCACATATGATCCAAAATTCCGCAGTGCGCAATGCTCCTGCTGTAATGTGCCGCCCCTGATGATGTACCTTTTCATGGTAATGCCTAACCAGCAATACTGCAACATGTGAGCTCTTAGAAACAATGACTGGATGTTCCATGTTTCTTCCAAGGTTAGCGTTCTTTAGCCGTCCGCCTACTCTAAGTACTCCTTCTTCATCAATATATGGGTAGAGTGAAGACAATGGACTGTCATTAGGTACTGCTTTACCACTAGTCAGACTCTGGATCTCTTTTCCGAAGACAGCTTTCTGGACAATCTTTAGGATCAGCAGTTCCGTGGCACTAAACTCCTTCGCAGTTGTGTGACTTACATGAAATGTTTTCTCAAGTGCCGCTTTTCTAAGCCTGCTCATACCAAGAACAAGCCTTTCCCATGAGGAAAATTTACAGAACCTTTTCTTCCAAGAGGATGGGCTATAGGAAGAATTTTCTGTTTCTTCTACTTTCATTGCTGTAATCAAAGGTCTGACTTCCACATCATCATCAGGTTTGACCATTTGAAAGCTTTCATCTATGTCCTGCTTGTAAAAGGAAACTTGAAAGGGAGGTTTCCACCATTGACAGTCTTTTAGATTCTTGGCCAGAACTCCTCTAGTCCCTACATCTGCTGGGTTTTGCTCTGAGGAAATATAATTCCATTGCTCTGCTCTAGAAACACGCAGTATCCTGTCTACTCTGTTACTCACATATGTATAAAACCTTCTTGTTCTGTTGTACAAATATCCCAAGACAACCTTGCTTCAGAGTAGAAGTATGTAGCGTCAACTGGGACATCTTGTTGTCTGGTTACAGCAGTAGCAATTTCGGATGATAATACAGCAGAGCAAAGCTCCAGTCTAGGTATCGTATGTCCGTGTTTGGGTGAAAGTTTGGATTTTCCAAATACAAAGCCCAACTCATGTTTATCATCTGTCCTAAATACTTTTAGATACGCTACTGCTGCCACAGCTTGTTCTGAGGCATCTGAGTACACATGGAGCTCTGTCCTGGTGGCCTCACTGGTAGGAATGGAAGTAAACATTCTAGGAATCTGGAGGAAGGATAAATCACCTGCACTATTCTTCCATTCTGTCCATCGTCTCTCTAATTCCCATGGTAAAGGATCATCCCAATCACAAGACAGGTCCATCAGCTCCCTGAAAATCATGCGGCCCAAAAGAATAAATGGAGCGACAAAGCCAAGAGGGTCAAATACACTGTGGAGTGTAGACAAGACACCTCTCTTAGTACAGGGTTTCTCTTCAAACTTCACTTGGAATGTAAAGTAATCATTTTGCAAGCTCCAATGTAGACCCAAGCTTCTTTGTAATGGAACATCATCCATAACACTTCCATATTCTCTAGATCTGATGATCTCTCTTCTGGTGCGAATGCATTGACAACATCCATATTATTGGAAGCAATTTTATGGAGACGTAAATTTCCACCAGTCAATAGGGCAGCTTGTGTCTTCTTCATCACTTCAATAGCCTTCTCAGGCGTTGTTGTAGATAGCAGACCGTCATCAACATAAAAGTTATTGTTCACAAAGTTTAACACATCCTCACTTGTTGTAGGATCTACACTAGCTGCCTTTCTCAAACCATATGTGGCAATGGCTGGAGATGGTGCATTTCCAAAGACATGTTTGCACATTCTGTATTCCGTAAGTTCCTTACTGGGGTCATTATCACGATGCCACATAAACCTCAAATAATTCCTATGCTCCTCTGCGACGATGAATCCGAAGAACATTTGCTCAATGTCTGCTACTATAGCAACTGCATCTTTCCGGAAACGGAGTAACACACCAACAAGACTATTGGTCAAGTCCGGTCCGCAGAGCAAGACATCATTCAATGACGTATTCTCAAACTTTGCTGAAGAATCAAATACGACCCTCAGCTTTGATGGTTTCTTTGGGTGGTAGATCCCAAATATTGGCAAATACCAGCATTCCTCAGAGGGCTTCAAGGGTGGGGCTAGTTCCGCATGCCTTTCCAATATCCCTTCCATGTAGGCTTGAAAGTGATCTCGCTTGCCAGGATTCCTGTCCAAGGTTTTACTCAAGATCCTAGCACGTCTCAATGCCACTGCTCTGTTATCTGGTAATCTATCTCTAGGAGTTCTAAATGGCAGTGGGGAAACCCAGCTTCCTTCTTCATTCCGTTTACAGTGCGCCTCCATAATCCTTAGGAACTCTCTGTCTTCTATTGATAAACCCGGTTTATCATCATCAGCTGTGCGCTCAAAAAGTGAGGTTCCAAAGTCATTTGGTTTTCTGGAGCCCAGTCCATGACCTTCACTGTATGTGAAACTGCTTGTGCATGGAGGCATAATGGAAGTTCTTCCATCTCCAACTAAATGTGTCTTCTTTACACAGAATTCATCTGGGACATGGACCTTATCCAAACAGGCTTCTCCAATTAGGGCCCAGCCTAATGGAAGCTTCTGGGCATAAGGCGAGCAGCTGCCAACTCTCTGGTCTAAAACATGATGTGCTTCCACCAGATCCCGTCCCAGCAAAAGTAATACAGGCGCCTCATTCAGAGGTGGAATATCGGACGCAATATCTACAAGGTGAGGGTAGTGTTGCGCGATTTCCGGTGTTGCTATCTCATCCCGATTACAAGGGATATTATCACATTCCGTGATGGTAGGCAAATTCAATGTTTGTGTTGAATCCCAAGATTCGATTACAAGCCCATTAACTTGCCGTCCATAAGTGGGTACTGTACCAGAACAGGAAGCTATTGTGTAGCTCCTTGGTTCAGAGTAAATGTTCAACTTATCGAAGAATTCACTACGGGCTAACGACCTGTTACTCTGATCGTCGACTAATGCATACATGACAACAGCCTTCTCCCGTTCTCCATATCTGTAAACTCTAACAAGCAACATTTTGGCACACGATTTACCAGAAAATTGTTTCCCACAAACTTGTAAACATGAGGCTGAAACTGGAAACATAGAATCTGTTGTTGTACAGTCTACAGCAAGTTTCTCCCCGCCCTGCTCCTTGTGCGAATCTCGGACCTTGACATCAATGGGATGAAGTGCACTACAATGTTCTGTACTTCCACATACACTACATTTTATGTTCACTTTACAATCTCTACCCATGTGTTTTGCACTGCAGCAGCGAAAACAGATTCCTTTTTCTTTCAACATTTTCTTGCGTTCTGGAATCCTCTTAGAATTGAATACACGACAATCCTGAAGCGAATGAGGTGTATGACTGTTTGCATGAATCACACAAACCTGCGAAAGTTCTTTACCAGTCTTTGTCACAAATTCAGTCTTGTTTGTTCTCAGTGACACACGCTCTCTGATATTGCTACTACTGTTCGCAACAGATGTCACATGCTCCTTACTTTTTGGTTTAAACTGACCATCATACTGGAAACCTGGGTCGTTGCGTATGCGGCTCATTTCTTGAAGAAACTGAACTAGGAATGTGAAAGGAGGATATGACACATCGTATTTCCTTTTATAGGTTGAAGCATGATTCGTCCATTTTTCTTGCAAGTTGTATGGAAGCTTGTTGATTATAGGTAGAATACCTGATGACGAATCAAAATAGGATAGGAGAGTAGCATATTTCGGGTTTTCCTTGGCTGCCTCAATCTCAGCTAGTATGTCTGCCAGTTCATAAAGCCGCTTACTATCCTTTGTCGTTAATCGCGGAAAATGTTCCAGCTTGGTTTTCAGGGCTGACTCAACGAGTTCCGGTGACCCGTAACGTTCCTCCAGTCTCTCCCATATACGTTTTAAGCCTCTCTCTGGATAAGCAGCATTTGCAGCCCGTATGCTTGAAGCAAACTTACTTGACTCCGGTCCTAGAAACTTTAACAGTAAATCAACTTCCTCAAAGGGCGTAACTTCTAGTTCTTGCGTTATGCTAAGGAAACTTGCTTTCCATGTAGCAAAGACCTCGGGACGATCACTGAATTTGTAAAACCGTGAAAATAGAAGGTCCTTCTTCAACAAGAACTTGGTAAGATCTCCAACAACACTGCTATCATGAGTCTGTTTCACTTCATTAAGTTCAAAGGGAGCTGCATGAGGGTTTAACGAGCTTCTGTGTTCATTATATTCAGGGTTTGTCAAAGGTGGTTCAACGGTTACTGGCAACGCAGCACTTACCACATTTTCCACTGGGCAGCTCTCATAAATATACTTTGCTGTTAGCTGTGTCTTGTCAACTGGTTCTTCCAGCAATGACGATACTGGAGAAACACGCCTACTGTTCATTCCTGTGTTCTCAAGTGCTTTCACTTCTGCTTCAGCTACTGCGAACTTGCGTTCCTGTTCTAATAGGAGAAACTCGGCATCTAACTCCTCCTTCTGTCGAGCCTGTTCTGCTTTGTGCTTGGCTTCCATTTCCTCCAACGACGCCTTTTGCTTTCGTAACTTTAATTCTCTGGCTTCATATTGTAGTTTGGCTCGGTGAGCCTCCACCTCCATCCTCTTCTGTGTCAGAATGCTGCCCATCACCGATGTTTCTCCGACCTCTGACCTTGTGTGTAGGCTTGCAGAGCCTCTTTGAGACAGTCTCTCTGTGGCATCAATTCTCGCCTCCCGAATTTTCCGACACAATTCCCTTATAATGTCCTGACATTTGACCTTTAAAAGTTCTTGAATCCTTAACTCCGATAAACTGTCCACAGTGTTTGTACGTGTAAGGTAGGCCAAAAAATCTTCGGATTCCTCTCGGTGTTTCACTTGTAATGCCTGTAGCTGTCTATCTAAATGTCTTAAAGATTTAAAGTCAGATTGTGATCTATATTCGTCAACTTTCACTGTTATATCTTCAATGTCAGACCAAACAGCGTCACAATTATTAAGATATTTCCTAACAGTGTCCTCATATAGGGCTTGGCCTTTTTCTGTTTTTGTTTTAATTCTACTTTTGCCCTGAAGTTCATCATGATCCTCTACTTTAATACTGCTTATAGTACTACTGTCTTTATCAGCCATTTTGTGTCAATGTAATACACTTATCTTTGCATTTCAATATTAATTAAATGATGTAATCTATACATACGAAAAATGACCACCCTTCTAAATGAGCATAAACATTTCAGAGTACACACAATAATGTTTCAAATGCTGTACACATGTACAATTGAAAAAATAAATTTTCTTTCACAGTACACAAGTGTGACATTGACAGTTGACAGAAAAATGATTGTCGTCAAATTCGCAGCAAGATAAAATTCAAATATCTACTCAAGCATTATTTTGCTACATAATTACAGCACAAATTTTCAAAGCATGCTTAAGAAAAATGCAATCCTACTTATTGACATATCACATTCCTGTAGCACCAAATTGTTTGACCATATACGTACAATTGAAAATGCATAAAGCCACTGAATATTAACAGTTATACATGACAATAGTTCATGTCCAAGAATATTGTACTATATAATGGAATGTTCTACATGTAACGGAATGTATACAGAATGTTCGACATGTAACGCAATGTCCCACGCAACCGACAGGATTGGATGCCTCTCCAGGTAGGTATGGTCCGCACGCCACTGTCCAAGGGAAGTGGGAATGGTAGGCCCAGCCTCAGGTAGAATGATCCTGATCCGTGTAGAAGCGATTCATTTACTGTGCAGTCTCAGTCCCAGACTGGTGCAACTGCGGATTAATGACCTCGAAACCATGTGTAGTGTTGAAGACTCTATTCTGATAATGGCTTCACAAGAGGTAAATGACTGAAAATAAAATTGAAATAGACAATAAATTTCTAGCTTTCTCTACAAATAATATTCACTCATAATTTCACAAAAATGACCTCATCAATTTTGAATACACTATGAAATACAGGCCTAAATTACTTAGAAGAATTTTGACAATAGATGCAAACACTGTATAAACACAAAGACTTGGCTTAAGATCAATGGTAAACAAGAACAAATAATCAGCCCGAATTTCCTCTATCAAAAATGACAACAGATTTAAACACATGGAAAATATCATTGCAAAATATGAAAAAAGTTGTTTAACACATTAGATATATGCACATATTAACACTCACATCGCGGTGGCACCTCACAGGTATCAAAACATCAAAAAACAACAAGGGTTAACACAACCCACATTTGCACCAGCTCCGGCCATGCTGAATCCCAGACGTATATAACAAGACCGGTC